AGAGCCATGCCCTGATCTAAATGCATTGAGTTGCTGTTGATCATCAATCATGATAAACCCTCCAGTAGGGAAATCAGGAGCAGGCAGTAAACGGTACAGAGCAGCATCGGATATATTAGGGTTGCTGCAGCAGCAGCAGCAGCAACAGCAGCAGCAGCAACAGCAATAGCAGCAAAAGGAATAGCAGATACGCATGCACCAGAAACAATGATACAACCAGCAACAAACGCCAGTTACACACCATACAGGGATGCCACATAACCCTAAACCCTAAACCCTAAACCCTAAACCCTAAACCCTAAACCCCAAACCCTAAACCCTAAACCCTACTCGATGAGTGCAATACAAGCAGAAATAACTTCGCTAAGATTATGCGGAGGAAGATTCGTAGATAAACCAACAGCTACTCCTGTTGTTCCTTGGATTAATAATAGAGGAAGACGAGCAGGTAAACATTCAGGCTCTACCTATACAAATATATATATACACAAACCCTAAACCCTAAACCCTAAACCCTTAATTCAGATGGATATGCGGAAGAGGGGGAGGCGTCGAGTGTTCAAACCGGTCTTGAGGTGTAAAAACATCATTCAATAACAAGGGTTTAGGGTTTAGCGGCTAGGGTTTAGGGTTCAAAGACTAGGGTTTAGGGTTTAGGGTTTAGGGTTCAGATACTAGGGTTTAGGGTTTAGGGTTTAGGGTTTATTACCTCTGTTGCATCAAAGTTTGGTTTAAAATTGCATGCGGCGGTATTCAAATCCTTCAGTAATACTTCTTGACTGAATACACAAACCCTAAACCCTAAACCCTAAACCCTAAACCCTAAACCCTAACCCTAACCCTAACCCTAAAGGGTCGCATCACGATTCTTGCCAAATAGTATCAAAAGAAACACCAAACGAACCCTAACCCTAAATCACCCCCTCCAAACCCTAAACCCTAAACCCTAAACCCTAAACCCTAAACCCTAATATTACCAGAAAGAGGATAATCTACATTCTGTATATCTCATGGCAGCTGCAGGGTCACCATCAACAGATCCAAAGTTGCCGTGTCCTTCAATCAGAGGTAAATGGGATACAAAAGGTTGAGCCATCCTGAGCATAAACCCTAAACCCTAAACCCTAAACCCTAAACCCTAAACCCTAAACCCTAAATTTATGAGGATATCTTGAGAAATTTTGTGGATTTTTTTGCAGTTGTATATATATACTACAAGTATTATTTTATGCCTATAATAATATCTACTCCTCTCCTACTGCTGCTGCTGCTCTTGCTGCTGCTGCTGCTGCTGCTGCTGCTGCTGACCTAACAAGAGCATCATAAACAGATTTATCTCCATGGGGATGAAATTTCCCCAAAACTTCGCCAACTACTCGCGCACTCTTCCTGTAGGGACCTGCATGCGTTAATCCTAATTGCTGCAGCAGCAGCAGCAGCAGCAGCAGCAGCAAGAGCAGCAGCAGCAACAGCAACAGAAGCAGGAGTAACGAACAATAAGCTATGTTAAGGGTATAAAAAAAGGGAGAAAAAAGGAAAGAAAAAAGTATACCTTATTACCCATCTAAATAAAGGAAATAAATAAATAAATAAATAAAATAAATAAATAAATAAATAAAATAAATAAATAAATAAATAAATAAATAAATAAATATACCTGCATAGAATAAATAATTCTTCTTTGTGAGGGTTTAATGCCATCCCTTAGATCAGGAATTGCTCTTCCTTTTATTGTATTTAATGCATATAATTTATAATTATTTAATAAACAATAAGCAAAATCTTCTTCTCCTTCTCCTGCTGCTGCTGCTGCTGTTGCTGCTGCTGCTGCTGCTGATTCGTTGTCGTCTACTCCTGAGGATGATAATGATCTATCTAATGATGGGTGTTCTTCTTCTGCTGCTGCTGCTGTTGCTGCTGCTGCTGCTGCTGGAGCAGCAGAGGTAGATGTTGCTCCTAATGCTGTATCTATTTGTGGTTTATCTGGTGCTGCTGTTGCTGCTGCTGTTGCTGCTGCTGTTGCTGCTGCTGCTGCTGCTGTTGATTGTTTATTGGGTGTATTGTTGAGGTCTAGAGGCAGCAGCAGCCGCTGCACTCGGCTGTGCTGCGGTGTATAGGGAGCACCTATATCCCCTATTATATACCCTTTTAGGGGGGCCCCTCTATAGGGGGCCCCCCCGTAGGGGGCCCCCCTTAATGTATTAATAAAAGAAGATGCATGCAAAGAAGAAGAAGAAAAGCCCCAAGAAAAGGAGAAAAGAAATGTAGTTAGATGCAGCAGCAAATAAAAAAAGAAAAAATGAGGAAATATATGCATCCTTCTCTAATTAGGGTTTAGGGTTTAGGGTTTAGGGTTTAGGGATTAAGAGGGAAACCCTAAACCCTAGATATTGGGATCGATGATCCCATCGTCTCCCCATCCCAACAAAAAGAAATAAAAAAAAGTCCTATACAAAAAAACTAGGGTTTAGGGTTTAGGGTTTAGGGTTTAGGGTTTAGGGTTTAGGGTGGAAGGAGGAGACCCCCGAGTCTGTTGTTATCATTGACTGTGGTTTTTCTGTGTCCTGCTGTAAACCCTTTTTTAGGGTTTAGGGTTTAGGGTTTAGGGAATATATATGACAAGATAAAGCATATATTTTTTTATATTTAGGGTTTAGGGTTTAGTGTTTAGGGTTTAGGGTTTAGGTCTTTTATTGCCCCCCAAGACCTATGAGGCCCCCCTAGGGGCCCCATCCGATCATCGGGGGCCCCCCCCCCTGCGTATTATTGATTTGTCTATTAAGGTTTAGGGTTTAGGGTTTAGGGTTTAGGGTTTATAATAAATAAATAAATAATTTATTCTTTTTTTCTTTTTTTTTTCTTTCTTGTATGGAGGGTTTCTTCTCTTATTTGGGGTGTATAGGCACCTCTTTTTCCCTCCATTAATATATTATTTTTCCCTTTTTTTTTCTTTTTTTTGTTTATTTACATTAAAAATTAATTAATTTAATTAAGTAATAATTTAATTAATTAAATTAGCCGTTAATAGCTGCCTATACACCGCAAATATATCCGTCTTATAATACCTTATAAAAAACAGAAAGAGTATAGATGTCTATTTGTTCTTTTTTTTTATTTTTTTTATGTTTTTCTTTCCTTATTAATCCTTTTTATTCTTTTGCCTTATTAAAGGGCATGAAGGGAATAAAAAGAATAATAAATAGGCAAAAAAGTACCCTTTTTATTGCCTTCCTCCCCCCTGTACCCTCCTGCAGGGGCCCCCTGCTGCTGCAGCAGGGGCCCCCTAAGATAAATTACCCCCCTAGAGGTGTGGGGCCCCACACCTGTGTTGGGATCGGTGGGATCGTCTGCTCCTCTATTGGACAGTTACCAAGGAGATTCCTAGGGGGGCCCCTTGAGGGCCCCCCTAGGAATCTCGGGCTTAAGGGCCCCTTTAGGGGCCCCCAGGGGCCCCCAAGGTTCTTTGCAACTGGGGGCCCCTCTGAGGTACCGGGAGGCCCCCCTGTACCCAAATTAGCAGCAGGAGCAGCACGAATAACAGCAACAGCAGCAACAGCAGCAGATGTTGGTATAAATATAAATAATAAAATAAATAATAATATAAATAATAATATAAATATAAATAATAATATAAATAATAATAATATAAAGGGTTTATTTATATTGGAGGTAAAAGAAGGAAAAGAAAGAAAAGGGTTTATTCTTATAGGAAGAAATGCTGTACAGGTTAGCTGCCTATACACCCCAATTATTTATTTATTTTTTTTTTTATTTACCTCCCTATACACCCCAATTTATATACTATTTATTCCTTATTTATCTCCCTATACACCCCAATTTATTATTTATTATTTATCTTATTATTTATTTGCCTATATATACACCTGCCGTAAACCCTAAACCCTAAACCCTAAACCCTAATTTCTTTTTGTTTGCATGCAGAATGAAGAATTAACATTTAATTTATCCAAGCCCCAAGATTTATGGTTGCATGCAGCAGGTGCAGCAGGAGCGCATGTGCTGCTGCTGGTCCTACTACTGCTGCTAGTATAATTGCTGCTGCTCCTGCTGCAGCAGCAATAGCAGCAGATTGTGCTGCATATTTCTCTAAGAATAAGGAGAAAAAGGAGACACTTATTGTCTCCTCTCTTGCTAAACAAATACACAAAAAAAAAGGGACACCTAAGGGGACAGTTATTATACAAGGAGATACACAAACCCTAATAGGAAGGTAACCCTAAACCCTAAACCCTAAACCCTAAACCCTAAACCCCTATTTATACCCTTCTCCCTATATATATAATACTCTATTAATAAATGGCACAATACAACCGAGGGTTTAGGGTTTAGGGTTTAGGATATTGCATGCATGCAAGTATCTATGCATGCATGCATGCATGCATGCATGCATTTTTTGGGGCTTTTTTTGTTTTAGGCCTAATCGTGTTGCTCCTTTAATTGAATCAATTATTAAAGAAAGACAAATGCAACAAAATAAAAAAAAGAAAAAAGACAATAAAGCAGCAGCAGCAGCAGGTGCAGCTGCTGCTGCTGCTCCTGCTGCTGCTGCTGCTGCTGATCCTAATGCATGCACAGGTGCTGCAGCAGCAGCTATGCCAACAGTAGCTGCTGCTAACAATGCAGCAACAGGAGCAGCAGCAAACACAGCCCAAACAGCACAGGCAAAAACCGCAGCAGCAACAGCAGAAGCAGCAGCAGCAGCAGCAGCAGCAGCAGCAAGTAGGGACTGTGGTGGTCCTTAGTGCAGCAGTACCTGCCCTCATGTCTGTTGTTTTTTATATGTTCTTTTGCTGCTGCTGCTGCTGCTGCTGCAGCTTCAGCTGTTCAGGTGTATAGGCAGCTAATTGAGGTGCCTATACACCTGAAGGTATTTGTTTGTATAATAAAGAGAAAAGGAGACACTAACCATAAACCCTAAACCCTAAACCCTTATTAAGAGACAGAACAATATTATTGTTGTCTCCTTATATATATATATA